AGCAGCGTCTTTGAATACTCTGTCGCCAATTCACGTTCGAATTATGGTTCATATAGTATAGCATCCACTATTCAACAAGTTCCTAGGATGACATATATCTATCGCCACTATTAATGACTCCATATGACTCCATTCGTTCAAAGCAAATGTGTGTGTGTATTACATGATATTCCGATTATTTTTATAGAGAACGATAGAGGATAGTGGAGTCACGATCTTGTCACATTCAATTCATAATTTCCACGTTCACTTAATATGGCTCAATATTTCTTTCTCTATCAATTTCAATCAGGGTTGTAGAGATGCTATGACCCAATTCATTTTTAATACGACTCTCTCTCTCTCTCTCTCTCTCACACACACACACACACACTCTCTCTCTCTTGTTAAAAACCGTTTAATATAATATTAATTTATTTTTTCTTTCATTTACTTTGACTAACACGTTTCGTTTAGTGTATGATATTTTTAATCTATGTTTTTTTTCTCATTTAAGAAATTTTATAAATTATTTTTGCTCGATAGCTACGTTATCTTTATTAACATAATTTTGCATACTTGCACATTTTTATTTATCCCCTTTGTTTTTATTGGGTAAACATTAATTTTACAAGTCTTGCGTTTATTTCCCTTTTTTTTCTTTATTATTATTATTATTATTGTAATGTAGAAAATAAGAAGGGAGTTTACATTGAATAAAGTTCAGAATAAAATCATTAGCTTTTGGGTCGCTCTCATCTCATCGTGGAAATGCTTAATCCCAAGCCTGCGCCACTCAGTAGAACAGTGATATAATTAAATTCTTATTTATTTGTTGAGTTTCTAGAGCAAAGTACGCCAGTGTACCCAATTTCGTTAAAATATCTCAAAAATTGCAACCTATAGCCTGAACATGAAAATATTTTAACAGACATCGGAGAGCATGAACAGGCCAGCTTGCAAGGAATTAGAAAATGATTTCAAAACGACCCATGCAATACGAAGTGAGTCCTTCTGAGTTTTGCATCCAGGTAAAATTAATATGCCCAAGTGCCAAATACGAAGTGAAACGGTCCTGTTTAAGATGCTGAAAACACAATTCTTCAAAAATGTGATCAAATTATTCAAAACAGCCCATCTATGAATTATGAAGTGAATGAAAGTTAAGAAGGAGATTTACTTACAACTTGTTCTTGGGACCTTTAACTTTTCTGTAGGGATTGCAATGCGGGATTATGTTCATAAAGAAGAAGTGAAGTCCTTACGAGAACTTAAACGAAGGAACAATCTATTTGGTAGATGTGTCCGTAGATTGAACCTTAGAGATTGAAACTTGATATAGATCCACTATTTTATGAAAAAATCTTCATCTGCAATGAAGCTCTGCTTTGCTTATATGGCTTAATAAGTAAACACTTAGTCGTTTGGGCTTATTCTGTGAAATCGGGTTATATTCCGTGCCCATGAAGTTAAGATTTGCTAGGTAAGTGTTTTCACAAGAGGCAGGTTGCAGGCACCATGAAATCGTTATACCTTAGATGACAAGTTTAGGTTTATGAGTATGTGCGCCATAACCGGAAGGATTGAGAATCATTTTCTGAATCTGAACAAGCCGAACAGACGGACGGGCAAGAAAGTGATGCTGAATCGATCTAAGCTTGTCTGTCCATCTGTCCATGGCGTTTTCTTATGTTCAACCCGCAGGTTGCAATTTTTGAGATATTTTGATTGGAATTTGTTACACCCAAATTGTATTGGCCCAAAAACATCTTCCCAATCTCTCTTATTTTGAAAATTCGTTATATGTGTTAAGCGTATTAACCGAAGTCACGAACCGTGTTCAACAATAGTCTTCTTATTTGCTTGTAAGCGGAAATGACATTGAACGAGTATTTATTATAAAGTAAGAAGAGGAATGCCGTTGTCGGATAATTCCTTGTCGGATATGACCTTGAAGGATAATTCTATAGAAGAATCTAGGTTCTTTTGCTGACATCACATTTATATTGCAATGAAATTAGTTTGTTATTTAGGCGAAAACAACCGAATGAATTATAATAGATTCACTCACACGACATGAAATTAGTTTACTGCGCATAGTCCACACTATTGTCGCGGCTAGAAGGTTGACTATTTTCACTATGCCCGTGTGCCCTGCACACTTGACCGGCCCATGAGTTTAAAGTAATTTTCGCTTAAAATTGGAAACAACTAATGTAAACTGAAACATTGTATATTTCTTCGTTATTTTTATTTAAAGTTTATTGTTACATTTATTTATCATTTGTCTTGAAAATTACACGGTTTTTATTTTCTTGCACGCTTTAATGCCATAATAGTAATAATAAGATGATCTGGTAATCATACGGCAACAATGCATAATTAATTTAATATATTATTATTTCAAAATTAAATTTCGATATAGCGAGTCATTCCAGTGTGAAAACATCTGAACGAAATGGATTTTTTTTTTTTTTTTTTTGTTAAATAAAATCATTTTTTGGTTGGTGAACAAAGCCTTTGTCGTTCTATCTTCGTCATATTTTCTTCGTAGTTTTTTTTTTTTTTTTTTTTTTTTTTTTTTTTGCTTTCAAAAACAGAACTTTTCAACTAGTTGTACATAAGCGGCGAGTGTATATACAAATGAGAGCACGACATCGACAAATGTTATTAATTTGAAGGCAATATAGAACAGAGATAAAGGTTTGCTTCAATCGCGCTTTGTTGCACCAACGAAAAGAACAACAAAAAAAGGTTCAAAACACTTATTCTCCGTTATTCTTGAGTTAAGCTGGGATTTTTAAATATTTGAATAAAATTTTTATAAAAGAAATAATAATAAAATTGGCTGAGTACTTGTGTGTCGGCAAAAAAAAGCCTTTCAAGTGAAGTGAGTGATAAATTCATTAACGCAACTCTCTTGTTAACAAATGTTAAAAAGTGACTGTTGTATCAATTTATTTAATAATTTCAAGCTAAGAACAATATCTACATAACAGATTTGAAGTTTTTCTACGCAACGTGCCCTATATACAGTATACATTCACATGCCAGCTTTCGTGATGTGTTTATGAGTTCAATCGGCCAACGATTGTATGAACTTAACTCCACCTGTAAAAAATATGTGCTCACTCACACATTTAAACTATTCTGATTTTCATCCACTAAATGAAAGAATTATGTGGCATTATTTTGTGCACGGAGGACTACAAAGGACTTGTGAATATATGGCCGCTTTTTACACTCACAGCTGAAGAATCATAGTATACTCATTTTGTTATAAAGGAAGCTTCCGGAACCCCTATTATATATGCATATTGTTGATCAGCGCGAAATTCTGAATCGATCTAGCCATCTCGCTTCAACAGAACGAAAATCTCAATTTCAAATTTTGATAGAAACATGAAAAATTCTTGCACATAGATTGGTATTGAAAATAGGTCAAATGGGCCAAAGACGCAGAGCGTGATAAATGAATTTGTGGGCATAAAAGACTCAGCCTAATATACATCTTATCGCTTGCCTTTAAGTTAACCATGGGAATGGAAAAGATTTGTAAAACGTAAAGTGAAGGAAGGAAATAAACAAGTTCGGCACAAATGTGTGTTGTGTGACTTCTTATAACAACAATAAAAATTGCGAAGTTTCGTTTGGCAACATAGCGTTCACTAATCATTTAGGTGGCTCTCATTACATATTGCACCAAGTCTAACGTCGAACTCAGCACAGAAAACATTTTAAATGATTTTTCCGGATAAGATTCGTCTCAATCTTCCGTTCTAAGTTTTGAAATTTTTTTCCAGATGAACTAGATGACTAATCTATGTGTATGTCTAAAGAGACTTATAATATTCTTTGCAGAATCTATAGTATGAACCTCGTCTTGAGTCTTTAATGTTGCAAACCCATTGATCAAATGCTTTGAATCAATTATCCCTTAACAGAGTGACGTCATTAATGATATTCATAAATGTCGCAAAAGTATTGAAAACTAATCGGCAAATGCCATTCGTTTATGTTCAACTCATCGATGCGTCACTTGATCGGCATCGGCAATAACCAAATCTCCATAGTGATATTAAGCAGACCAATTTTCGCTTATCACATTTTCTCCGTTCAATTTAACTTTTAGGGGGAGAGAGAAGAAAAATTGAAGTGTATTGCTTACCAACACTTTTCCTTCGATATGTCCGCCTACGTATACAAAGTTGTTTTCCTTGGCTTCTAAATTTTTCTCGACAATACTTTCGGCAAAAAACGTCTTCCGTATTAGAACCTATTTTTTTGCCACCGTACGTCCATAAATTTTAAAATTAAGGTTTTCTTAAACCGGATACTAATATATATATCTTGCCGGCGTACGGCGTGCTGGAATATACAATTGAGATCGAAATTGTCCGGGAAGTTGTACTAACTCACTCGAAATAGAGTTATTCTCAGACAGGCTTTGAAAAGCAATCGATAATGTTGGTTCGTCCGTTAACTTAAATTTTGGATATTGGGTTGGTTTCAATGTACGATTAAAGGGATTTGTTCTATAATTTCCATTTTAAACAATTTGTCCTTATTATTATTAATTAGTTGTTTTAATAATAATCCCAGCTTTTCTTAAGTGTTTTTGTTTTTTTTTTTTTTTTTTTTGTTTTTTTTTTTTACACAATGGCATTCGATGTCTTTTTTAGCATTAATTATTAAAATTATTATTTACAAAAATTTTCTTTAAAGTCTTTTATAAGAAATCATTCAATCAATAAAACTTAATAATAATGAAATTAAAGTGAAGAAAAAAAAAAAAAATAAAGCATAATTTGTCTTCAGAATACGCGCTTAAAATTTAAAACGTAAACTTATTCATACATACCTATTAAAATTTATTTAACAAAGGAAAAATTTTGTTTTAGTCTGAATTGTTTTTGTTTCGGTTTTTTGTTTTTTTTTTCCTTTTTGTTGTTATTATTATTATTATTATTAAAAATTAAATTCGTTTGCCTTTTTTTCATTAGAGTGTAAACCTTACAAAACTAATGTCTATAATTATCGTCTAAGCGAATACGTTTTCTTTGGCCAGGATTCTCACCCATATCCAAACTTTCATTATCACTATCCATGGGTTCGCTGCATTCACCATCGTTATCGCCGCCCATATCGTCTTGCTTACGTTTTGCTGTAGCCATTTCGGCCGCATGCCGTTTGCGCCATTTGGTGCGACGATTTTGAAACCAAACCTTTATTATAGTAATAGAGAGAAAGGAAAAATTTATATTCTTAACATACGATTTTAACCCACAATTTAATTAAAAAAATTTCTTTAAATTCAATTATAATTTATTCAATCTCTTCGACAATATGTGCAAATCATAACCACATTAAATCGGTGGTTTCTCTTTACGGTCATAGCAGTAAATATATGTTTTAGCTGTTTAACATATAAATATATATAAATATATTAAATGAAAAGAAAACAAAAAGAGCAATGTGCGTTTGCCACCCTCCATACGACGAAAAGCTCATCAACGCCAGTTAAACCTCAATTAAGAATAAATAAAACATTTGGACTCTTAGCGGCATAAGCATAAGCAGAACTGGGACAACTGGAACAACCATGACTAATACCTTTTACGGTTAATGGGGACTAGGAAAGCCGTAATAATAATCCAGACCGAGCTGCAACATATGTTGCCGCATATATGCGCTCGTATGTGAAGGGCATTGCCTCTCCATAAATCATCGTATGAAAGTAAATTTTGTTGAAAAAATTTCCATTCTCTCTCTCTCTCTCTCGTCTCTAAAACTTTAAAAGGTAGTAATAACTTTCGACTAAGCGCTTATTGCATTCATTGTGAAGGTGTATTGGCGCATGTATATAGGTTAGCGCGTTTCGCTCAGATCGGCCCACGTAATGTAGGCTTTAGCTTTCTTTAATATTCAATCCTATGAATATTTTTTCCAATCTGTTTGTTAGTTTATTTACTCAGCTATTTATTCTTGAAGTTTTAAAGAAAAAATAAATAAATAAACGTGGACGCGGCCGTGGAAATTTATATGTTGTTGGTGTTTTACTTTATGATTGACAAGCAAGAAACATGGAAAGCAGGGGGTGTTCACAGTTGCAGTTACATTAACGTGTGGATGTTCTTGGGCGTGTTCTTTGAAAAGTTTGGATCATTTGCAAATTTTTTTGCAAATTTTTAGATGACATCCTCATGTTTGCGAATGGGAGAACGTTTATCACTGATACTGCACGGTTGGGGCAATCGGATAGATGGACACACAAGCAGACACATATTCCTAAATGAATTCCGAAATTGGAACTGTCGAAAAATTTGTGCACTTTATGGGCTTTTTACAGGTTGCTTCTGTACGTCATAAGAATGAAATTATGACGCACTATATAATTGAGCAGGCCTTGCCAATTCTTTCCAGTTTTGTGGAGGTATTAGCCTATCATCCATAAAATATGCGTCCACTAGATAATTTTTAACAGCAGGCCGCGTACACAAGATCTCCTAATTTTTCGACTATATTTAAAAGCGATAGCTTCATTAGTACGGCCAGGGGAATGCTTACTAACGACATTACAGCGACATATAAACGAACAGAGGGACATGCTTAAATCGATTCAGAGTTCGGGCCTTTCGAACTGCCTTATGACTGTCAGACAGTTGCAAACGGCTTGAGAAAATCGATCCACTCCTCTTCCTTCGTTGCTGGGGAAAAAGAAAAACACAAATATGTTATTGGCAAAGCGAAATACGTTGTATTGTAATTCAGATTAATTACGTAATTTTTAAAATTAAAAGTTGAAAGCAATCAAAATTCTTAAACCGTGAATCGAGATAATATTTAAGAAAATATTGATCGCTTTTAATTATGTTGATCTTTTTTAGTTATGTTAAAGGAGACAACAGTTCTCTGAACTTTCGCTCAGGCTTACTAAGCTTTCACAGGATAAATAGAACCGTTAGCCGACAAGAAAGTTCCATCAAATAATTCATCAATTTGGAACGACGATAAACAAACTTTCCCAAGTGTACTCATCTGTGGAAAATGAATAAAAGCTAAGGAAATATAGGCGAGAAACATTGGCTGCAAATGATTTTTCGAAAGTTTCGCCCTCTAATCCGCGTCTGATGGTGCATTTGCTGAACGAGTTCAAACGACAAAAGTACAAAGTTTGTCACGGGGAAGGAAGAAATGTGGAAAACGAGAAGGTAGAGAGAGAAAAAAAAAAAAAAAAAAAAGGAAAAGGAACAAGAACAGCATAGCGTCCTTTTTCGAGACGAAACAGAAAGACAAAGAAATGAAGCTTTAGATTAAGAGAATGAGAATTTTATACATAATTTTAAGGTTGGAGAAGATGCCCTTTCTTCATAACAAGTCCGAACAACAAGTCCGTTCGTTCTTGCAGTTGTATAAAATATGAGAAATTAAGTAAAGTAATTTGGATTTTTTTTTCACTTAAGCCATTTTACTGAACTATTTGAACGTTTAAGATCGAAAGGAAAACGTTTTTGAAATTCTTGCCTTCTTGCGTATATACGCCTCGAAAATATTCTTACGAATTATAAATGAAAATGATGTCTCTACCGCATAAAATGTGTTTTCTTTCTAGCCCTACTTTAGTGTCTTTTAATGTAAAAAAGTGAAACATTTTTTTGCATTTATTTTCCATCATTCGACAACAATCATAATCTACGTATATGACACAAGTGTGGATCGTGCAATTCTGCACAAAAATAAGTGGGTGTTAAGCTTTTTTGTTACACACTCGGTTGCTGTCCGTCCCTTTGCTTAATACATGAAGCAAACAGCTTCATCATTATATTATCCGTACAATGTCCTGCATACTGTATAAGTATAAGCAAATGTTTGCTTATGCTTATGTATGCGTTTATATGTCTGAGTTATGCATTCCCTTTTAAAAAGTCACAGCTGTTGCCGGAAAATAATGACCATGAAAAGCATCCTTAATGATGCCAACTAATGGTCTTTATAACATATAAAGATAATTCCAACACAGAACACAGTTGACTCTATCTCACATACCAAGCGAAGGCAAATGGACTTTGTTCGTGTTGTCTCTGTGTGTAGACATACTCTGCATAGTTTGCCTTTTGTTCGTATAGGAAAATACTCTTTGGGCCGAACTCTATTTTGTTCTTCTATTTTGTTTTTTTTTTTTGTTTTTTTTGTTTTTTTTTGTTTTTTTTTCTTCTTTGCTGCTGCTATTCTGTTGTTGTTATCATTTGTTAGAGTTAAAGATTTTTGCATTGTAAGACTTTGTATTAATGTTTGTTATTATTATGAGTTTTATTTATTTTAATTTTTTTTTTTTTCATTTTCTCTTTTTGCTCGAACCCAGTATTACACATGTTGCACTATACCGCACACTACACTGTTATATATACATGCAAACTTGAACTTATTTGTTTAACATAATTTTTATGTTTCAAACCGAAAATATTAGTGACGTAGTTGGGGGGCAGTGGAAAAAGTCAGTCGAATGAAATTAAAGCAAAATTTAATTGTTTTTTTATTGTACATTATGTTTTGGTTGTTATACGTAAATACAAACACATATTGTACATGTAACATGCATGTTCAACATAAACGTGCAAATGAAGTTGTAAATCATGACAATGGTAACCACACGAACGTATTCTAATGTTTGGTTACCGTAGCAAAAAATTAGCCAATGGCACATTAAAGACTTGTGCAACATCAGGGCCAGCATAAATGAAAATTATCTAAGTGAATCGTCCGTCCTTCCTCGAAAGATTGCAGTGATTTTTATCATTATCACTCCGAAGCCGCCTATAAACAACATTTCAGTTGTTGTTGTAATATAATGGGAGTTTTGAGTTTTCGTTACCGAACCGGTATGTGGACGTGAATTCGACAAATTAAGCTATCTAGACCACACCTACAAAATGCTAAATATGAAGATGACGATTTAAAAATAAAAAGAGTCTCGTCTCACTTCTCATTAAATTTTATCGAAAATGATGAAAATTTGTTCATATTTATTATACAATGATTTTTTAATTTGGCGTTACATGGCGAGTTGTCGTATTGTCGTGCTGTCGACTTAACTCAAACCATCGTCAGGATAAGGATTCGCATTCTTAAACCAAAAGTTGTTGGCTGTCTCAAACTATGGGGAGATGAACTATGCTTTGATGAGAAGCATAGATGTGCCGAAACTCTCACCTCCCAGCGGTGATCCCCGGGCAACGGCTTCGGCCGGCTAAGAAGAGTTTAAGGTTTTGGGCTGCTAACTCGGCGACGAGTTTCTGAGAGATGGTGGAGGGGTTGGCTGGAAGAAGAGCTCTTACTCAATAAGCTAGTTACTACCGAGAAAATATATTGAATGGTATTTAAGTACAATGAAGGTAGTACTCTAGCGAGTGCATGGTAGAGTGCATTAGACTAGTCTACCATGTTCAGTGCAATACCCGAAACCTATATATCTTGAAGAAAAGTAGTTCACTTGGGGCTGGCAACCAGGAAAGTATGGAGAATCCGAAGCAAGTACGGTTGTTTTTAACAACCGCCCAAAGTATGCCATAAGGCTTTGCAAAACAAACTGGGAGCCACGGGGGTCAGGAAGCTCGCCTCACAAAGCCACGTATGCCTGCGGGTATATGATGGACTTTGTCCTTAAGTCGTAATAAATAAATAAATTAATTATACTATTAATGCAAAAAGGAATTGACGGACGGCCTTCCCTTTGGCCGATTGATAGAAAATGTCTGGTAAATTAATTAATACATGCAAAAATGGAAAAGGGATATGACGAATAAGTTTTCCCCTTTTACCTATTTTTACTTTTGAACACATGTCACGGATGCCTGCGGGTAATGGTGGTAATTGATCAACAGCACAGTGGAAGCCTTATGGCGGAAGCAGTCAGTTGATCAATTTGTGAGTCCTGACTGCTTGGGTGCGGCCCTTCGGGGAGTACTCGTGGTGATTGTGGTTGGCGAGTTCCTAGCTAAAATGGAACAATTGAGTGCAGCTAGGCCTCGCCATTCATCAGAGTGGGGTTTATTGTTCCATACACAATAAACTGTTCTGGACTCTGGTGCTGTTTAGGCCCCTACTCTGTGGGGATTGTCTAACTCGCCAGGGGGCGTAGTACGCTTAAAAGTGGCTTGGGCCACCGTGGGGTTAAGCCTTTCAGGCAGGAAACCACGTTAAACCCTTGCCACAAAATTCTGTCTCA